CCTTGGAAGTGGGATTTCTTTTTGGCGGAGGGGTATGATAATTCCGGGGCAACCAAGTTTTCTTTGAAAAGAATGGGCCGCCCAACAAAAGTTCCCCTTAAAAATTATTGGACGTTGAGGGGAATGAGGGAGTTACCTTTTTCTTGGAAGAAGGAAAGGGGGCCCTGTTTTTGGAGGGAGTCCGGGGTCAGGGGGGATTGTTCAAGCAGGTGGGGGAGGAGGTTTTGTTCCTTGTGGCCCCCACATTTAGATGTTTTGGGGGGGGGGGGGGGGGCGAAGTAGCTGCACACATCAGTGCGGTCCGGGATTATCCACCATGAGAGCGAAGGGGAGGCACGGTGTCGTGAACAACATTGATTTGGTGCCGGTGGCAGCGCGAATAACGCCTCGTATTCACGATAACTAGTATGTCGCGAGGAAGCAAAACAGTCGACGAGGGCAAATCACCGAAAAAGCAATACAGCCACCAGACACTTTATATCTTGAAGCAACTGCACATGAAGTAGCGAGACCGCAATGACACCAAGCAGGTGGGCCGGCTACCTGTTGAGATAATCCGGTCTGTCGATCGTGCGCGAGCTAAATGCTTCCTCGTCTTCCTTCGAAGAGAACCCGAAGTAGCGGCCAGTGCTCCCAATGTGCGGTGTCACGTGCTCTTGAGTTGTGATGTATCCGAGACCATCAGACTCTTCCAGAGGCTGCCACTTCTTGGTGTCCGTGAACTGTTTCGTCGTCGATGGTTCACGAACGATTGGTTGCAACACGGTGGCATGAGAAGTGGGCGGGATAATGGAACAACCGACTCACCACCAGTGAAGAGTTCGCTTGCAAAGCCGAGAGGATACCGCATGCTCGCGAGCCTTCCCGAAAGGAACTAAACAGTGTATAGCCACACGAGTCGGGAGTATGTCGGCTTCCGTGCATCCCGGCCGAGGACTGGCGAGGTGCGCATACTTGTTTTTCATGGGGTTTCGGGTTATGTAGTACATTGACGAAACCAACATTCCCCCGCTTTTTGACTACTCGTGATCAGGACCGTGGCCGGTTTGGAATAAGATTTGATTCGTACGTAATGTCCACCTTCGAGTTTACAGACGCGGGTTCGAATCCCGGCCGATGTCACGGTAATTGTTGCCGTCTTTCCCCCCTCATATTTCCTCTTCAGTTGGTCTCTCCGTTGTTTTCTTTATGTCTCGCCGTATTTTTCGCTCGATTTGTTCTTTCCTTCGGTGGTAGACCAAACAACGTTGAAAACATTTCGAAGTGTGTGTTTTTTCGGTTGGTTGAAACACTCTTCAACCACGAAGATACCTGGTGCGAAAATATTTGTGTTTTTGAGCTCTCAAGTCGGTGGATTCAAAGTGGCCCAACAAATCAACCCGATTTGCTCTGGAAAAGACCCCAACAGTTAGGGAAGACACGTTTGAAAGACATTGCTGGCGTCTTCAATGCAATATTTTCCTTCTATTTCACCCTCGATGTGCCTCCAGTGAAAAGAAACCACTTGTTCAGCACCATTTTCCTAATGGCTCATTTGTGAAGCCGGCCACTTGTTCCTGACCAGAGCGATACATCGTTGAACAATGAACGTCGCGGGAAGCGAGAGTGGAATCGGTACAACTCGGTGCAAACAGCATGAGGACCAACAAAAAAATAGCAATAGCCTGCTACAGAAGTCACCAACATTCGACAACCCCAAGGCTACAGTGCCCACCTACTACAGCTCACCTCGTTGGGACTGTTTCTGGGGACGTAGGGCGTCCACGAGTTTCCCTCCGAGTCAGTCATCGAAAAATCGCCGGAGAACGGGACGCGGTTGAATTCCCGGCCTCCCATGCTCCCGTCCGCGTTCCACCCGTCGTTTGCGGTGAGATAGTCCCAGCCCTCGTCCACGTAGGCCTGGGCAAGCCCCCACGGCGTGGACGTGTCGATGCTGGCGTCTTCCCCTTCCTCCATGAAGGACATAGGGTGGTCCAGGCCTAGCATGAGCGGATCGATCTCAGCGTGGCAGAATGGCATCGCCTTGAGCGCGGCGTGGGCCAACACGTAGAGCGCGGCCACCTGATGGAAAACGAATCCCGTGTTGTCTCCACATGGATGGGTGATATTTACGCTTGTCATGACGACGATGTCCTCACATCATCCACCTCGATACGTCTATTCTGTAGTGAATATTGGACAATTTTCCATATAGTTCCGAGAGACACGTTTAGTCTAGGCTATAAAGAGTGGTTTGTTTCAGTTGCCGCAGGAAAACAGTTCACCACCGTTGCTCGCGTGCCGGGACCGTCGCTTGGTAGCCACTCCATAGCCACACCGCAGACTCGTTTGTGGATTGCGCTCGTCTTCAGTATCTCCATCAATAAACGCTGTGTTCTCGTCTGATTCTATCCATACCTTGTAGTGCAGGGAAAATAGTTCGATGGTTTCAGGTGTGTCTGGATAGCAGCGGCGGCGTTCGTCAGACGTCTGCCTGTCCCCGAAGATATTCAGCACGGGGGGCGGTTGAAAGGCACTGGCCACAGACCACGACGAGCTCTGAATGGCTGCAAAGGAGTGAACCGGCAGACCAGGCAGGCAGCCGGGCGAGGGGGATGAGCCTCGTTATCCGTGTTCCATAAGGAAGTCGAACTCCGTCTACCCTGCAGCGTTGTTGCAAGTTGCAGGAATTCGCACCTCTAAGGCTTATTTCTCACAGCAAGGGTCGAGCCCACTATTGTAGGACGGTTGGAATATAATCCAGCACCGGGAGCCGGAAAGTATGACAGAGACAGAATGACCACCAGAGAGTGGAAAGCTTGCGACTATTGCTTTTGAGGGCGGGCAGGATCTCGTGGGTGAACAACAGTAGTGTGTGTGCGCGTGATGCACAGGGAATGCTGACGTGCATCATTGGCATCCGCAAATAGAGCAACCCATCTCATACGTCGGTCTGTTCCGGGATATACATTTAGTGGCGGAAGCGCAAAGATGCACGTCTTTGTGGCGGGTGAAATGACACAAAAGTTGGGAGCATTGCCCGTACCGCATAATACGCAATCTTTGGTGGCGGGTATTTGGCGAGACGACCTTGGTCCACACCCAGAAGGTCGCAAACTCATGTCATTCTCAGCATTTTTCCTTCCTTGATTAATTCGTGAATTTCTGGATTGCCCCATGCTGAGAGTTAGTGTGATAGGATCACACACGGTCTACCCAGGTATTCATTCATCACACGCGGGTGTAGACGTTGTAGGGAACTAGATGCCATAGCCTTATGCGGATTGGATGCCACCGCCTGCTGCCAAATTCACGTAATTAAACACTCAACCACCGGAGCAGTCTCGTTTGCCGCACTTCCGGTTTGTGCAATGAAAAACAGTAGTCAACATCCGCTTCTTCTCCCGAAACGATGACAAATCCACCGCAAACAACAAAAATGAAAGTCTGTCACACAGCCACACAATACATTATTCTGTAGTTCACACAACTCTGTTGTCTTATACCCCTCTCAGTAACTTTGTGCGTGCCACGATAACATAGGTCGACCGTTAGTATCTGTGGCTGCTGCACTGAACGAAAAAGCCGAATACCAAGGTTTCGTGCAGGCTCGGACTGTCGTCGAGGCATCACATTCATTCGACAAAAAATGGCGTGTGCTTCGCTCGAGGTGGCTTCTCCACGACCCCTTGAGCCACGAATGCTCGCTTTGTCGAGAAGAACACAAGAACACCACCAACCCGCGTTCAGTGGGTCGTCTATTCGTTCTGCTCGTCTTGGACGCCAAACCCGGCGATACAGCATCCTTTGATACATATCGCGAGAACTTGATCGAACGTTCATGGGCTGAGACTCACCCAAGCGAAACCGCGAGGATGTTCTGCAACAACGGGCTTAAGCAGAGTCTTGTAAAAACATTTAACTGCTAGGGCCCACAGTTCCAGATGGTTGTTACCTAGTGGACTCGGAGCTTTGAAGGATACCCCGACACATTTCCTTCCAACAGCAGTAGTTTGCAGTTTTATCCCGGTGGCCTTCCCACCCCCTAGTATTTTCTGCTGAAAACTCCATCTCATACAACAGTCTATGAATATTTGAATTATTCTCCCCCATTCATGATTTTATCTCAAGCCCTACCGTCTATGCCTATCCTATCCTTCTATTCCTTCTGCTGCTGGGCACCACCCTCCACACGTGTTCCCTTGTATACCCCCGTGGGTGAAACATCTTTGGTTGATATGAATCCGTTTTACCGTTGACCTCGGCTCGGCTGCGACAGTGAACGGAGCGAGTGTTCCCAACGAAACCTGTGGCAGAATGAGTTGAATAAACTCACGATAGATGCGGCTGCTGTAGATCCGAGTATATTAGCAGCGGAGTGTACAACAAGAACACACCAACCCATCTGAGCCTCTAGACTAACATCTTCGTCGAGCTCGGAGGGACTTCAAGTTCGAGTATGCGACGCCCCGTTGTACGTGAAGTTGTCGGCTGGACGTGGACGTCGATTGTGCAGGACGTCCGCCTCAAGGCAATCCCGTCGAGCATACTGTACATATTGTACGTACGTGAGGGGCTCGCTGGTATTAATTATTTCCCTTGGGGGCTGCAGATGCTCGCCATATTGGGGCTCATGAAAATGGTATGTACACAAAGAAAGTTCCTTCTTTGCTTGAGGGAGAAGGAAGAGTGTCAGCGAAGCGAGCCACACGACCATAGATCGTGTGACATGCACATTGCCTGCGCATGAACTGCCCGTTGAATATCCGCGAGTCTACCCGCAAGGTGGCCGCACACAGTGCCACACCCGAAAGAAACCCCGTGAAAAAAGCGGCGAAGCGATTCACGACGCAACTCGCATTTACTCAAAACCCGTTACAACAACAGACTACCGTCCCTTGTAACGTTTTTCACAGCAATTGGCTCCTTTTTTTTTTCTTAATATGACCCAACGAATCCACCTCTACCTAAGAAAAGAGTCTAAGATAGATTTTATTGTTTTCTTTCGAATTGCTTCATTATTTCTTCGGTTTCTAGGCTACGTGTTGGGGAGAGAGACGCACGAAACGCTCATCGTCTCTCCGGCCGCGTTAGCTGCAAAGGCCGGCGTCAACTCTTACAAATCCATCTCTCTCCCCACAAATACTAGCCGAGGGACTACGACTGCAAACGCAGGAGTCCCAAAACTGACTAAGTCCTCAAATGGTACACACCATTCTACAACACCTGACTAGATACCGAATATTCCCGAACTTATGCCCCCACCTTCGAAAGAAAAGGGATGGGAGGGCGGGATTTTCTAAACTGCCGCCGCTACTGCGTTAGGCGGCTGCTGCTGTCCTTCCGTTGCTTCACGCGCTCTGTAGCTGTCACACGTTACCCGACTTTGCTACAGCCCCTGCATGGACTCGATCACGGAATGACACCCCCAACTATAGACTAATAATTCCAAACACCGTGACCCTGGGTTTCCGGTAGAAAATGAAGCCAAATTCTAATTCGACTGTTACAAAATAAACACCAGTTTATTCTATCTGCTTCGACGAACAAACCTTCCTTTTATTTTGTTTTCTTTCGAATTGCTTCATTATTTCTTCGGTTTCTAGGCTACGTGTTGGGGAGAGAGACGCACGAAACGCTCATCGTCTCTCCGGCCGCGTTAGCTGCAAAGGCCGGCGTCAACTCTTACAAATCCATCTCTCTCCCCACAAATACTAGCCGAGGGACTACGACTGCAAACGCAGGAGTCCCAAAACTGACTAAGTCCTCAAATGGTACACACCATTCTACAACACCCACATCGAGGTCAGTTTCTGGACGACTACCGAATAAGTCAACTATCCGTTCCCCCAGACGGTCCCCTCCCCCGGCTGTCTCGATACGATCCTACTGCCGTCTGTAAGTTTCCGTGACACTCGCCGCGAATCCTCTACATTGTTTCGCGCGTACGGCTTGTATGCATCCGACCTCCACTTCCCTTCTCTCTGAATCACTCGTTCTGCGATGTCTCCGCCCGATGCAAGAGCCGTCGCGCCTCCAATTCGCAACGAGTGCAACGCGTACTCCTGGGGGTTACGCCCCGACTTCGCTACCACTTCTCTGACTACACGGAGGGCAGCAGTATACCTCACTACTCTCACTGCTCTTCCACTACGGTACGAAGCCAACGGTGCGGGAGTCAGGCAACGTCGCATGACACGATAACAGCTCCACCACAAGAGCCACCGCGCCGCCGCGTGCTCTCACACCTGACTGCGGTCCGGCGACTTCGTCTCGCGTACGAACCCGTATGTTTCCTTTCTGCTCTTGATCGGCCTTGTGCCCTCTAAACCGCATTTCGACACGGTCTGCTCTACGATAGTGACTAAAGACTAATTGCGTCTCGCCAGCAAACAATGCTACGTCCGCCCTCGTAAGACAGTGTGCCTCATGCACCCTGCCCGCATCATTCGCGAACACCTCATCAGACCGTGTGATAAAGAGATAGGACAAGCACAGACACAGCCACATCACTCTGCCCCCTTCCCCCCAGTTCTGGTTTGCGCTTTCCCCGTCCAGCAGCATACGCCAAGACACAGGCAGGCGCACACGGCGTACCGTCCCCACAGCCACGTGGTTTCTCGCAATCCCCCTTAGCGCACATTTCAACATCGGAGACGACAAATCTAGCTCGACAGAAGCTTCCAGCCTATGAAGATGTTGTACAGCCGTGAGTTTTCCGGATATTGTACTCGCTAGATTACCCTCAGACTCGAAACACCAGGCTACGAAGTCTATCAACTCCCACACATGAAGGTCCCCGGCACGTTGCCCTAGGAACTTTGGCTTCTCCGTCAGCCTGCGAAACGTGCCCCAAGAGTTGAAGCCTGACGTGTAAGTCCTTCTAGACGAAGACGCAACTGAGTGCTCGACGAGCTGCATGCCAAGACGTCGGTAACAAAGTCCCGTCCTGCCTGTCCCAGGTCCTGAACCTGCTGATAGCCACTGGAGCCAACCTCGTGTAGACCGGCGTGCTGCCGTTCGATTTAGCCGCAGGTGCGCTGCCATCCGAGGTAGGCCCCCCCGCTACGCGGGAGAGCCCGCACCCCTATTTGTCTTTCCCGTGGGTGAAGAAGTCAGCGGCCTTGGGTCTCGCGCCGCCCTCGCCAGCGGCGCGCGCCTCTCCTCCGCGCCCTCCCCCGTTGCCGTGGCCAACGCCGCGCGCGCCGGTTGCCGGAGTTTCGGACGCTCCGCGCCTAGCGTGGGAAGGGTTCTGGGCGTGGATGTGTGGGCAGTTACGATCATGGCAACCGGACGACGAGTTGAAGGCGAGGCAGTAACCGACGAGCGTGTCGAGCGATGCCGCCACTTTCTCTGTCACCAGAACGCCTTTGCGAAGCAAGGATTGCCACTCCATCTGAGACAGTTTTGAAACTGCCGGAGGCCGCCCCAGGATGAGCCACGCTTTTACCCGGCGGAGGTCCCCCCGCATCCGCGCTCTATCCTTTGCCGTAGCCTTAGCCGCCTCGGCGCTGGGTGTAGCGGGGGCCCGAGAGGCCGATGGTGGGGCGGTTGTGCCCACCAGTTG